AAGTTTTACAATGTTATAAAGATGAGAAATATGTTGTATGTCTATCTGGAATGAAAAGACATTTTGCTGTAAAGTGGCAGTTGCTATTGTTGTAGAAAGATTATTTTGAATGTGTTTAAACATGCACATAGTTATAATTGATTTGTTTATTTTTGTGAAGATATTTCAATGAATAGCATGTATAGTACTCAACAATTGGAGAACAAAACACATATCATTTGCAGGGACTCGAAATTATGTTATTTTTATTATGAAGTTTTACATCTTATCTCGTGTATTCATTATTTATTTATTTAGTTATTCCGTTTTATTTAAACAGGGTAGCCCCGTCAGTAAGCAAACCACTGTTTCCATGGGGCCCTGTAAATAAATGCAACATATATGAAGATACAAACTACTTGAACAATATATATAATATAAACTTCATCGACTGACATCAAAATATAGTTACATATAACAGAAAATAAGTAAAGAATAAGAGTGGATAATGAACTAAGCAGGAGTGAGAATGATAAATTTCAATGAGAAATTTCAAATCGATGAAAATAACAAATACTCTGATTATTATCAATGATCTGTTCAGATTATAGCATATTATCATAATGAGAAATTTATGTGGATATTCACGAAAGAAAGAAAGAAAGAAAGGCAAATCTATCTTTAACATCTCTGCTTAAAATCGAGGGAACAAAATATATGATCATTGTGATCATATATTAAACAGTCTCATGATCATTTCCTTATTCCTCCCTTTGAAATGAAATTATTCATATACAAATAAATATATATAATAAATATAATGAGAAAATTGATTTAGTACAGTGTTTTAGGTCAATCGCAGGATCTAGTGCTCTTGTGCAGGCCTTTATAGTACAATTTTTACCATTTTTAAAGAAATTAATCATTTGGAAGAATAATCAAAGTCAAAGTTCTGATAAGCATTTATTTCTTGAGTGTAGATTTGGAATACTAAAACTGATCAAATGTAATCGTATAGGTGACTTGAAAATATATGATGATAAATTTTAGTTTTCTTTAGAAAAGAGCAAGAGGGGACAAAACAAATAACCAACCAAAACATTTTACATCATCTCGACAACTGGTTACTCCTTGATGTTAACAGTATTTCGGGTGAACTAATCATTCATTTTGTATTTTGAGGTTCAGGAAATATTGCTGTGTGGTCTCCACTGTCTAGACAAATAACAGAAAACGAAAAACTGAACTACACCTTGTGAATTTTGACCTCCGATGATCGAGGTCAATGTATCCCAGCTGCCTTCAGAGGAGATTGATCTTCTAGCCTTCAACAAATACTTTTATTTATGAATGTTATTAGTCACCTTTCTTGTTAATATTTGTATTTTACTATTTCGAAAAAGGGGCATCGAAATTTTCATTCATTTCCTTTGAAGTAGATGATATAGAGACCTAGTATTAAACATGAAGGAATAGTGGGGGCTGTTAGGGATATTTTGGTGCAGATTCTTCCAAAAGCACCACATTTGGCACAGAGGTAGATTATACCTTACTATTACGATTTCTGCCGGACGCCAAGAAGGGCGCTCTCTGGGACTGCCATATTGGGCAAATCCAAAATGGCCGCCATCTGAGTTAAAGGTCAAGCGTAGTTCCAAAAGGAAAAGCGCTTTAATGATAATAGTTTATATATTTATAGGGTTTTGGGGGTCAGAGAATCTGATTATGATGTTCTTTCATTGATTTCAGTTCTCCTTGGGGCTGCCTTACTGTTCATATTGGTCAAATCCAAAATGACCGCCATCTGAGTTACAGGTCAAGTGTAGTTATGAAAGGAAATGGGCTAGTATGATAAAAGTTTATATATTTCTGGGGATTTCTGGGTCAGAGAATCTGATTATGATGTTCTTTCATCGATTTGAGGTCTCCTTGGGGCTGCCATACTGATCATATTGGTCAAATCCAAAATAGCCGCCATCTGAAAGTTACAGGTCATGTGTAGTTTCGAAAGGAAATGGGGTTGTATGATAAAAGTTTATATATTAAGGGGGTTTTCGGGGTCAGAGAATCTGATTATGATGTGCTTGTATCGATTTGAGGTCTCCCTGGGGCTGTCATGCTGGTCATATTGGCCAAATAAAAAATTGCCGCCATCCGAGTTAAAGGTCAAGCGTAGTTTCAAACGGAAAAGGACCAGTATGATAAAAGTCGATGGGGTTTCCGGGGTCGGATGATCTGATTATGATTTTCTGTTATCAATAACCGAGTTCGTAATTGCACACTCCGCATGCGCCAAAATCGGGAACGAACTTTTACAAAGGTCACATGAACATAAAGAGAGCTGAGAGAGGAACTGTAATTTGTTTGTGTGCTGGCCTTTCCTTTGTGAATGATCACATCTGACACATCAGTCACCGAAAATCATTTCTGAATGTCGATATTGGTTCTTTGTAATAAACTTTACTTGGAATCTGGTCATCGGTAAAGTATTATCGGCATTATCCAAGTCCCCAGGGACCCGACCTTTATGTCTAGACGTTGCATAATGCAATTCATATTGGTATTTTATTCCATCTCAGAGTGATTATAGACGTTATTTGTTAAGGATTATAAAGATAAAGCTGTCCGGGTTTTTAAAGATAATGCTTTAAAACAAATCGAACAAGCTGTTTATTTCTTTATTCATGGTCTGTTTCTACTGTTAATCTTTTTTCATTGCCAACCCTCGAAAACTAATTTATTATGCATTTCACAGAGGAAGTTTGCATAGGAGAACTATGTATGTATACATATATATATATATATATATATATACAAATTATTTATTGTGCTTATTTTGCATTCTTATGGATCCGTACAATATGGCACAGCTTTAGGGGCCTGGAAGAGCCCCTACCGGGGATTCCGGGGCGGATACCCAGGATGCTCTCGACTTTATTTGACTTTCAAGAGAAAGTGTCTCTAAGATATAAAGAGAGGTTATTTCTTAAATGAAGTGAAAGCCCCTTACTATATACACTTTTATCATACGAGCCCTTTTCCTTTTGGAACTACACTTGACCTTTTACTCAAAGGTGGCAGCCATTTCAGATTTGACCAATATGACCAGCATGACAGCCCCAAGTAATCCTCAAATTGGTAAAAGAACATGATATCCAGATTCTCTGACCCCGAAAACTCCATAAATACATAAACTGTTATCATTTTAGCTCTTTTCCTTTTGGAACTACTATTGACCTGTAACTATCAGATGGCGGCCATTTTGAATTTGACCAATATGACCAGTATGGCAGCCCCTAGGAGACCTCAAATCGATGAAAGAACATCAAAATCAGATTCTCTGACCTTCAAAACCCCATAAATATATAAACTATTATCATACAAGCGCTTTTTCTTTTGAAACTACGCTTAACCTTGAACTCAGATGGCGGCCATTTTGGATTTGCCCTTCTTGGCGTCCGGCTGAAATCGTAAAAGTATGGTATAATCTACCTCTGGGCCAAATTTGGTGCTTTTAGAAGAATCTGCACCAAACAACCCCTATTTAGCCCTAGCAGCCCCCACTAGAATTTGTCCCTTTAAAGTTGTTATTTTTTTTCAGAAAAAAAGGAAAATTATACTGATATCTTTCAAATTATGTGTCATTTTGTTTCATAAAATAAAAAAATAAGAAATTGTAATTTCAGTTTTATTTCATTGTTGATTCAGGCATACCATGGAAAAAGTGAAAGTAATCAATTTTTGGTGCATATTTATCAAGGCACAACGTGAAGGAATATTCCATGCAGAAATAGACAACTTTGGTCATAAAGATTGAATTGGTTCTAAAATTGTGGTCCATTTGACATTTCAAAGGGGAAGTAACGCAACTATATTTTCACATATAAACGTGTACAAACATGGGTCGATTGATATAAATGCTTTTAAATATAATAAACAACTACTTGAATTCTAAATGTTGTTATGGCAAAAGATAATACTTAATGTAATTTAGAACTGTATAACCATTTTTTAATGTGTGGTCCGGTGGATAATCTTTGCTAAAAGCATAACAAAGGAAACATTGTGAGAGTAATAGAGAGTAGAGAAGATTGGAGCAGACAATCCATTTGCATGAGTGGCTGCTGAACTTTCTGTTAATTTACACGTTAAACCACAAAAATTGATACTGCGGTGATTTGTGGGGTTTTAATGGGTTTGCCTCGAAAGTTTAAAGTTTCCAGCCATTGGAATGTCAATCTCAAAACGACTGTTGGTCTTTTGAAAGCCACTTCCTTACTGACAAGTATAGGTCATCAACCTTTCCTGGGCTAAAACACTAAAGAACTAAATCACACATATCACTTAAAATTGAGCTCTTTGTACGATGTTTCTTTACGTTTTTCTAGTCTGTACGCTCCTTGCGTTATACGGTTATTCTTTATCTGATCGAGTTTCGTATATATATATATATATATATATATATATATATATATTTATGCATTGCCATATTTCCATAACTGATTGAAATAAGTAAGTGTACGTATTCCATTGTCATATACTTTCTTGTTTTAATTATCTTAGTAACTAATCAGTCTATGTAATTATCCCACAAAAGTCTGTTACATTGCTTTTGGATTAGCGCATAGAGAGGGCAACGTAGTATATAATATATAAGCATGCATAAATGTTTGTATTATTGTTTACGTTTGTATTATTATATTCTGAACAGGCTGTACGTTTCATGGAGCGTGCAAGAAATCCTTGCTCGCAGATCGAGGCCGCTGGCAAACGGAAACACTCCGCCCACGCAGTGTTTTTAAATAAATAAACAAAACAATGCAATATGGCTTAAGCCTCGAACTTTTGGCGAGTTAACACAAACTTTCAATTGACAAAAGGCCTTCTCAACTTTGCACGCGATTAGTACTACATGTAGTACCATCGGCCAATTTTGCTGTTTCATAATTTCCATTGTTGAAAATTGAACCAAGGTACTTCTCGCACAGACAAAAGCGTCTCCCAGGCGAGTCAATCGCTGGAGCAGAAAGTTTTGTCTCGTATAGAAATGAATCCTGTTCCCAGCTTGTTCACCTCCTTACAAGTCACTTTGCACAAGGCCAGTGTGCACTGGAGTTTTATATAATATTGAGTTCTGCTACAGTTTGCAGTGTGCAGGAGAGACTCGGCCGGTGAATCAGGGAATTTGGTGATCACTGTTTAGCGAAACCATCAACCTTGGGAACGCTCGATCTCCTATAGGCGTGAGTATACATATTTTTATGAGTTCGATAACTATATCAAATTTGATTAGGGACTCGTTAAATATCCATGATTAAATATTATAAACTGAGCTGTAATTGCATCGCATGTAGATTTGAGATATTGTGATTTTCAAGTATCATGCAAGGGTATACTATAGACATTTAGTCGAATTAGATCATTATTCATAATATAATGTACTCGGAATAATAGCGTGTCAGTGTAATTATAATTCAGTCAGGCTCCCGTTTTAGCCATCAACTATATATATATACTGGTTTTATATACAAACTCCCGTTTTCAAACACTAACCAAATTCAACACTATACGAACCCTGAACCAAGGCAATCTCTACCACCGGCATGGACCACTGGTCAACCTACCTGTGGAGTAGGGGCCGGGATGCTAATTGGGGGCAGTCCCCCTCCTCATAATTAAGAAGCTTCGATCATTACCCCAAAATGGACTTTTTAACCATTATATTAAACACCATAAACAAAAGAATCCCATTTTACTTCTTTATTTCTTCCTTTCAATGTTAATTTTTTTATTGATTTATTTTTGTCCTTTGTCTTTTCCACTGGGAAAGACAGAGGACGAAAAAGCTTCACGATAACAAAAATTACAGAAAGGGTATATAAATGGCATATACCCTTTCTGTAATTTTTGTTATCGTGAAGCTTCTTCGTATGGGGTGTATGGGGAGGAGGGAGGGGCGGGGTGGGCTGTAGCTCCCAGATACCAGTAATGCTCTCCTGTGTATTAACGTCAATCCAATACTTCATACTTTGGGCCTTGCAATTACGAATTGCGATATAGGCCTACATAATGAAATGGTATATTATATGTGTTACTTATGTGTTTCAGCAACGCGCGGTCAATATATTACCCACTCATATTTGATGTAGATTTTTGTGAGTGCAATATTGCATGTGATTGTATTATTTGTATAAGATTCCGCGTCACTTGTGTCATAACAATCAACAGTACAGTGAGAAACGATTCACAACAATGTCTCCATCGGGGTCTCCATTGAATCCCCGACATACTGTGAGCTACTTAGCTAGTTGTGTCCCTTTTTGGATAGCTATTCAACTATACCAAGGGCCGACCCTGGCCCAGTTTTCATGTCAGACGTGATCCATTTGTACGAGAATAGTTTCAGTGGTTTTTATATTGTGTTGGGCAAAATGGTTGACTCATGGTTGACTTTTTTTTCAAATTATTTCTCGTTCGCTTATTTTTTTCCTCCAAAGAGGATAGTGGTAGCCAGGTATGCATCGCTTTAAAAATGCAAATAATTTCTTGGTCTAGTCACCATGGTAACCGGATAGACCTTTCAAACACCTTTCACATTACTGGTTATAACTTTGACAACTTTGTATCTACTGCATGGTCCGGTTGACCGAAACAGCGGCTGTCTCTCTTCTTCTGCCCTATTAATTTAATTAACACTTTGGATTTTTTAAAGACGGACTGTACTTTATGTTCTAGATCACCTTTTATTTTTCTTCCAAATTATTAATTCTTCAAAAGTGGACCTTAATATAGTAAAGGGCCTGCTCAAGACGGAGAATTTCGTTATTTTGTATCATTAATATTGTATTCATTAATTTATTTACTTATTCATTCATTTATATATTTAGTTTTACTAACTTTTACCCACTTATTTGTACGCACAATATCTTTCAAAAAAAGGCTTGTCGGTTCCAAGGTACTTAAGTTTGGTGCAATAGCTTATTGTCTCGGTACCGAAATGGCGACTTTCATTGCAAATTAACGATTCTGTCGGATGATTGGAGAAAAAAACCCGCATGAACAAAAACAAGGATTACAACTTTAAAAACAAAAATAACAACCCTGGAACATGTCAACGGACAGAATGCCACATTCATCTATCACGTGTTTTTAAAAGTAAAATCAGAAGAAGAAAAAGCCATCACAAGAATAAAGAGAAGAATTTTATGCGGAGTATATATATATATATATTTATAAAATGGCTCTAGTATTTTAAGCATCGTGATTGGTCAATACGCGTCACATGACATTGAAAAAAATTTGATGCAAGCACGATTTTGCAGAAATGAGTGCAGAAAAAGCGCAGTAAAAAGTTATATTGCACGGTGCGTACGCGTGACCATGGAGATCCAGTGCGCGCGCGTACGTGTAGTACGCGCTCCCTCGAGTTGCATTGCAATTATTGTAGGCTACGCGTAGCTAATATTGTACGCTCCACCATGATCCCCAGCGCAACGTACGCGTAGCTAGCTAGCTAGAGCGGCCAGCGGGGTATTATTAAAAAGCAAATTTTTATTTTACTTTTGCCTCGGATTTAGGCCTGTTTTGACTTTTGGATTTTACAATGAAGCCAGGAATTTCAGCTGTCTGATGTAGACTCGTCTCTAGACCCACTGTATGGATTTTATTTTTAATCAAGGCAATGAATCCCATTGACTTTTTGGTAAGCCTGCAAGGTCTTAGTCTAATTAGAAGTAGAACCAACATAACTCGATCTAGATCTAACTGTTAGATCTAGATCGAACTCTCGTAGACTCTAACTTATTAGATCTAAAGTTTCGTTTTTGATATTTGTGTCGCTATTTTATAAAACAAATAACGCACTTGACCCTGTTGTGCAAAACGTAAATGCAGTAAACGCTCGGTTTCTTCAGATGGTTCGCACTGTCAACTCGCCGCAAGCGGCTCGTTGCACAGAGCGGCACCAATCTAAAGAAACCTCGCGCGTACTGCATTCACCGCTATTGCACTCTGGGACGTGCGTTATTTGTATAATATATATATATATATATAAGAAAGCCAAAACGAGGATAGACTAAAAGAAAACTATTTTAAGATAACGCGCGTTACACCTGAAAAGCAAGCGATAGCAAGAGTAATTCAGCCAAACCTCAGAGATGAAAACACTTTTCTTTATCAAGAATTTGAAGAAAAGTTTAAAGTTAAAGGTCTTCATTTTTTACACCTTAATGTGAGGTCCATTCTAAACAAGATATCGGAACTTAGAATTCTTTTTAAAAGAAAAAGGCTGTCTATTATTGCTTTCACTGAAACATGGTTAAACAATTCCATAAATGATGAAGAAATTGAAATAGACGGATATAAAATCATACGCCATGATCGATCCTCTGGCTCTGGAGGTGGTGTATGTTTCTATATCAGAAATGATATTGCATTTAATATTATGGATGCTATAAGTACTGGAGATACGGAATCCCTGTGGATAAATTTGCTTATACCAAGATCAAAACCAATTGTTGTTGGTGTTCTGTATCGACCTCCGAAAAACAATTTGTTTATCCAGAAATTGTCCAATATTCTTGATACATTAAAGAAGGATGACGAAATAATTCTTTTAGGAGACATGAATATTTGTCTTCTTCGCAAATCGCCACTGGCTAAAAAATATATTGACTTGTTGAGTCTTCATGGGTTTAGTCAACTCATTAAAGAGGCAACACGCGTTACACCTACATGTTCTTCTCTATTGGATCATGTTGGTTGTACCAAAGAAAATAAAATAAGTCAAAGTGGTGTCATTGATCTAGGTATTAGCGACCATTATTTTACTTTCTGTACACGGAAAAATGTTAGACTGGCTATAGGTCATCACAGGACTAATGATATCAGATCCATGAAAAAATATACAGAAGAGTCTTTCAATCTTCAACTATCTGTTGTTGATTGGTCACGAATAACTGACTGTACAGATGTAAATGAGGCATGGTCAATATTTCAACATGTTTTTATCTCAAATTTGAATATGATAGCGCCACTGAAACGGATAAGAATAAAACAAAGATCAGAAACTTGGGTGACTAAAGATATTCTTTCCCTAATTCAAGAGAGAAATATAGTATACAAAAAATGGAGGAAAAGAGCAAAAGATGAGAAGCTCTATAAAAGATACAGAGTATTAAGAAATATGGTCCAAAGAGAGGTGAAAAAGGCTAAACTCGATTACTTACAAAACAAGATAGAAGAAAATAAACAAGATTCGAAAAAACTTTGGCAGAATCTAAAAAGCTTAGGATTGAAAAATAAGAAGCGAAAAGAACAAGAATCTGTCATTAAAATTGATGGGGAATTATGTCATGATAAGATGGCCATCGCTGATGAATTCAATTCTCATTTCACAAATGTGGCTGCCAAATTAGTAGACAAACTCCCCCCTTCCAAAGACTTTTTCAGCGCAGACAATGATTGTATTCGTGACTTTTACGAAAGAAAAGGTGTACGTGAAAACAGCTTCGAGTTATTACCAATCAGTGAACAATTTGTTTTCAAAGAGTTACGTAAGTTGAATGTATCAAAAAGTACTGGGTTAGACTTGATTCCAGCTAAATTTCTAAAAGATGGTGCGAAGGTTTTATTTAAGCCTCTAAGTTACTTAATGAACCTATCTATCTTGACGAGTACTTTTCCAGAAGATATGAAAATAGCAAAAGTGACTCCACTTTATAAAAAGAAAGATAAAACTGATGTTAGCAACTATAGACCTATTAGTGTTTTAAGCGTAGCATCAAAGATTCTAGAAAAATCGGTCTGTGTTCAAATTGAAAGATACTTCAAAGAAAATGATATAATTTATGAATTTCAATCTGGTTTTCGACATGATTATTCGACTGAAACATGTCTAATTCATTTGACTGATTATTTGAGGAGAGAAACTTCCCAAGGACGCTTTGTTGGTATGGTGCTCCTTGATCTGCAAAAAGCTTTTGATACAGTTAATCATTGCGTCTTATTGAAGAAGTTACAACTAATGGGTTTTGATAAGGCAAGTTTAGATTGGTTCAGATCCTACTTATCTAATCGGCACCAAGTAGTGGCCATTCATGATATTCGTTCCAAACTAATGCCTATAACATGCGGTGTTCCTCAGGGAAGTATTTTAGGCCCAATTCTATTTTCAAGTTATATAAATGATATGTGTATTTGTATAAAAGACTTCAAACTATTATTGTACGCAGATGACAGCGTA